AAAGGTTGACCGAATTAATGGCCTGAGGCAGCAAGGGCAACAGGTGACGACACAAAGAGGAAGGGAAATATTGGAAGTACCGCACACCAAAATGATGCCCTCTGGCAAAGGAGGAACCCCTGGAGTATATAGACAGAATAAAAAAAGGCGAGAGAGAAAAAGAATTAAAAGAAAGGGAAGCAAGTGGGAAATAAGTGGGATAAATTTGGCGATGCTAGAGAACTTGAAATACCACGGGGTGGGAAATCCTTGGTGTATGGTAATATATTACATAGCTTAACTAAAAATTATAAAATTCATTGGAAAATAAGAAAATAATTTTAAAAAAACTGAAATATTAGAATAACTCCCATATCGAGAGGAAGGGGGGAAATGTGGGCACTGCAACGGTACAGGTTACCCTCGAAGATTATTAATGCTTGCAAATGACGGTTCCCGCGGGCTCCAGGGCTCCAGGGCTCTCACTCCAAGGTGCTTCTACGCGATTCTGGTTTTGACCTATAGGGCTACATACTGCATACGGCGACTCCGGCGCTGTGAGACCTAACAGGCCTACAAGGTACATAAGTAGATACATCTAGGGCTATTATTCATGCTTGTACTCTGTAAATTCGAGATATATTTTAGTACACATTCTTTACTAAAAAGTGGCGCATGATACATTACGGGAGTACGGATAGACCAGATGGAAAGGATTCCCGAGGTCCGTTCCGATGCTTTATAATATTAATTCTTTTGGTGAGAGATTTAATGGTAATGAAAGATTGAAGTAATCCATAGTAATTAGTATAATAAGTAATGAAAGTACGGGTTTTTTTCAACCCTTGGGACTGGGTCTCTCCCGAGTCCCTCTTTGAAAAGATGGAGCAATACATGTATTATTTGATCTTTACTAGTATTAATGACGTTGAGTTGATGTGACGTCTTTTGCATCTTACTATATGTGTGGTAGTATAATATTATCTAAATGTACACGGATATCCTATTAAATGCCATAGAATATTAGAGAATATTAGAAAATGTTAGAAATATTAGAAAGCACAAGAGAAAGTAGCTTTGATAGTTCCGCCACCACATCAGAGGAGTGAGGCTGTGCAGTCTGCACAACGTAGCCTAGTTATGATTCGATCAGTCCCCGCACCAAGCCGACGCGCTGGGTGCACTGTGTGGCGGTAGTCATCCTGATGCCCTGTGGACTTCCGATGTATGAGATTGAGGGGTACCTCTCCGAAGCTATCTTCTGGGATCCATTACGACCCATTCATCCGATGTGATTGGGGGGCATTCTGTTGATTGCTTAGCCGGACACAAGGTGAACATTTTAGACGTGCTTTATTACTCTATATGGTAGGTGGGGGATTATCATTTTTACATGGGGCATATAGTAAAAAGATCAGACCATTCTTCTTACTGTAAGAGGTATACTTACGATATAAATTGACACGGTATTTCGTCCAGGCTATGAAACCCTACTAGATCAAATCCAGGTAAATTCGAGTTTCTCCAAGGGACACTGTCCTCGTTGGTTGTAAATCCTAAATCCCCCTTCAACCAATTGTCATATTCCTCCGTTTATACCCGTGCTCACTCGCTTCTAACGTTCAGCTAGTCAACTCGATCATCACCAAAGCAAAAAAACCCCATTTTTGGACCCTAATTCCTGCCAGTGATTGCTAGACGATCGCTGCTACGTAATAATAGTCGGTCAATCATGCACATCTCTCTATCGGGGTCGTGGGAACCGCGTGGGGTCTCTGTGCGACGGAGTCCCCCGCAGCGATGTACAACGTACATAATGCTCTAGTACGTTATAGGGGAATACAATAGAGACTAAGAGCAGCTTTCCGCTATCTAGCGTGATTCGGACAGATGACGGCATTTGGGATAGACGGGGGAGTGGTGCAGGTTGACTAACACTGAGTTGTTCAATTGAAAAGTATTGGATAGAAATATATCGCTCTTTCTTGGCCCTATCATGCCTGCAGAGGGAGATATATCTAGTTTTATTACTTTGGAATGTAGCTGCGGGATGTTCACCGTCTCTTCGGATCCCTGGTGTTTCCGTGTGGGGGGGAATACTTGACACCTAGTGTTTGGGATTTCCATACTAGCATGAGCTTCGCGCTGAACCTGGGCTTTTATTTCCGAGCTAGTACAGGGTGGTAACTAGTGGTATACTCAATAATGTTATTCAATGCTGATTTTACCCCGGATTACCGTCAATTTCCGAATAAGCCCGTTAATGTTGACCTCGGCACGGGGTATCCAGTAAGGATATTAGAATAATATATCTGTAGAGGAACAATAAAGCTGAAAATAACAAGTCAATCTCACCTGTAACGCAAAAAACACCATTTCCACTTTCTCACACAAGCTTCCGTATCCAACACTAACGACTACGAGGGATTTTCACTCGCCAATCACAGCCCTAAGAGGAACCCATCTTAATTTCCCACAGCACAAAGTCGCTATGCATGTATATGTACCACGTATAATTTACAAATGTACCAAGCCCTCTATATCAATGTTATATACATCTACACCGAGGCATGTACTTCTACAAAATACAGCTCAAACACTACCCCTCTTCACCCATTCCAATTTCAATATATTCATAACCGTACAATGTAGATAACTTTGCTTACAACATATAACAGCTGTACGTAAGTTGACAGGTGGTTCACGGGTTAATTACCTCTTTGGTATGGTTAATACAGTTATTTTTCCACGGTGCTCTTGCTTTGATCTCTTTTTTTTCTAGGGGGGTTTTTTTAAGTGCTTGGTCCTTATATCGAGAACAAAGGACAACATTAATAGAATGGGTCCGACGAATTATAAGATCCTAGTTCATTACGGGAATGTATCTAGCTTCATAGAAATCATTCTTTTAGATTAAAACTCGTTGTCAAGTATGGTACTACGCCCCATAGCCATGTTGACGTCCTATGGACCACCTTCATGACCCTGCAGCCCAATCGCTTTTGATATCCAGCAACATGCACAACCGCTCTGCATAATGTCCAAGCTTCATGCTATAGAGAAATGATTTCACAACTGAGCTTTATATGCACGCTTTTGGCCATGGCTCCCTTTCTTCCTTTTGTCTTATTTCAAAAACAGAACTGATTAGGGTTAGTTATTTCCAAGGCCTCGACGAAAGTAATATTCAACCAGATCTCCGCCGTAACCTGTTTCTCTGAGCCAATGCAGAAGCCATATGATATATTATCCAATCTCTGGCTTACCATCACACACATTTGGAATAGCAGCAGAGGCCTCCCGCAGCACATAAAGTCCAACCCTCCACCAAATTATTCGGACGCGCTGATTCGGTTCGAATCACTATTCTGCATGCGTATACGAACTTTTGGACGCAGTCGATCCTAAGAGGAGAGGATTGACTAAACCGTGACATACCTGATGACATGTCGTTGGCAAAGCGAAGATCTTAGGGACCACATCTACCCAATAACCCCCATGCCCATGGGGTATGGGATCGAGTCAGTTCATGAGAACTATCCATCAGCTCACATGTTTACTTAAAAGTGTAAAAACAACCACAAAGCCACCCCACACCGGCTGCAACCCAAATTCCGATACAAGCCGGGGCATGCTTGACCGCCAGTTTGTGGTTGCAGGAAGACTCACACACAGCCATGAAGTTATAGGATTGGTCCGGCTTTGCATTACGACATCTATCTGGCGTTTCTGAATGGCCAAAGCTTGAGATAAGCTGTGGCATAATACTGTTTTATTCTCAGCTTGTGTGCATGCATGTGCCTATGGGTATGCACTAGTAACTACGGAGTAAGTCGATTATATTTCCCATGTACATATGTGCTACGAAGTAAAAGACCTCGGGTTAATGGGAGGGGCTGAGCTTGTTTATCGTTAGCATCTATTTATCCCGCTGTGGATGTACGTTGTGCTAAACCTGTATGTGTGGACGTCTGTGCTTTAGCCAAGTCATGCAGGATGCAGGATGGGGACGATCTGACCTGAAGCTGAGAGCTGTCTGTGGGTATCTGGCTTTTTTTCGGCGTTGTAATATGCATTGAGCTTTGCTTTTTCCTTTATGTAGTAGGCAGAAAAAGCAATTTCAAGATCCAATTATTGTCGTATGCTTTATCTTCTCACTTGATCTCGAGTCTATACCTATCGGCTGGTCGGGTCAGTGCTTCCATGCAAAAGCGGACGCACGAGCCATGCTGGGCCGGTTGCGAAGCTGGCTCTTGGCAGTGCTGCTTGGCTAGAGCTGCTTGGATTAAGAGTATGGTTGGCGCTCTAGACCCGGATCTAGTGTAGATTTCTTTTTCCTTTGTTTTCATGGCATTCTTGGTGGCTGACTGCGGCATTTATTTTGCTCCATACAACCTATACCCCAGGTTTACAATAAACAGGCATTTTAAGGCCGGAAACTTTGATATTGCACCTATAATGAGACAATTCACATGGATATTGCGCTATACCAACGGTAATCAATTCTTCCGATTCTCCCCGAACACCAGTAACAAATAGCTCTGTTCAGCGTTCTTGGTTGATACCCTTGATATGACGAAGCCGAGCTATTTTGCGGGCCGGCCCCCGGGACACTCCGCACCGTAATTTCCCCGACGCACAGCGTACTAGCGGCGCTGGGAATGCCACGTGGGAAGGAAACGGGTTTCATTGAATGGCAGCCACACATGAAAAGGCGGTATGGATAACCCTGTCGTGCTTGGCTTTGGTGCTGTGTCCCGATGATCTCGTTTCTCACTAAATGTGCCGTTGCATGCAGGTGCCCGTAGAACAGTGTGCTTGATAGCGGGCGAGTCCGCTGCGGTGTGCGCTCGATTGCAGCTATGTCGATCTCACACCTTCGAGATACCTGATTTGTATATGCTAGCCTCGATATGTCCCAGCGGTGAAAACCTGTCGCTTTTTCCTTCCTTCACGTGGACTTGCTCGCGCGAACTGGCCTCCTAGGTTCCGGGAGGGATGCCCAGATGCCCAGTTCGATATCATGACAAAACTCGAGTCTGCTAACAGATCAGAACACACAAGTCAACAACTAAGGCGGTATGCCAGAACTAAAATGCACGCACCACAAACTGTTCCAATGATTCCTCGAATAGTTCGTTGTTCACGCCCACACCGCCGGGATGCTCGGTCGGAGAAAGGGGGTTTTTAACCACTGAATAGACCGAACCGAGTTAGCACTGCCCAGGTCTGCCAAAACGATATCACGAACCGTATTCCACAAACAGATTGATATAGATCTGTTGCAGCGCGATGCGCATGCTGGGACTCTTGAGGTCTGTCAGCATGACGAACTTGATATTCGTCGGTGTCTCGTAGTAGTGAAGCTTGTACTGGCTGGTGGTGAATGACACAAAGCTAGTTGGGGTTAGCATCGGCTTCACCTGTACATCCAAAGGCCAGCAAGCAGGTCATGCCTGGCTTGCTTCAGGGGCAGGCCTTACTTGTCGTCGTCACCTCCTAGCTTCCGCACCATATTCCGCAACGAAAATACTGTACCGAAGACTAGCTTCGAATCATCGTCTGTCGATCGCACTGTCTGGCCGAGACCGGTCGGTGCTGCGCCGGAGACTGTGTCAGATCGGGACTTCCCCACGATGGAGGTCGGCCGCGGAAGCCAGCGGCGCTTGTAGATGCATTCCGCTGGATGACAGTTAGCATAAGATGGTTCAACTCATATAATAGAGGGGTGGTTACCGTGGCGATCGAAGATGTAGAACGAGTAGACGACCATTGCGTATAGTGTGACCTGAAACAAGTTGTTGTTGATGTTCAGGGGAGTTCCGAGGCCGACCAGGCGGTGAAATTAGTTCCCGTATCGATAACAAAAGGCCCATATCGAAAAGGAGCTGCCTAGATTTTCTTCGGGGTTTCCGATTCGACTGGACTTTTTCTTTTAATTATACATAAGGCTTAGTACCGTTTATTCAATTCGCTTGTGCAATCCTTGCAAAGCGCGGCCTCGTAAGGCTGACAGCCCGCATCTCACGTTATCGTATCCCCCGCTCGAACTTCCTTACCCCACACATCTTCAACCACTTGGTGTATTTCAATGGATGAGAATGTGGCAACCCCCATGTCGGATGTATCCGCAGAGCCATCTATCGCCTCACTGGAGGGTATGAACGATACGCGGCCTCAGGCGAGCAGAGTTGCGTGAGTTTCACTATGAAACCTGCAGGAGAATGATTTTTTCCCGGGTATGATGTACCATGCTAACGCCCAATCTGAAACTAGGTCTACTGCATCCTATGACAGTACTGGGAGGCACCGGCGACGAAACCCAAGAGCAAGGCGTCCGGTGAAGGTCGGTCTCTCAATGCCGTTATGACAGCTTCGGAGAACTGATACTGCGGACTAGGAAACACTGGACGCCCGCTCCGAGTATTATACGAGTCAAGATGACGGTACTGCGGAACATCGTATCAACCAATATGTGATCAAACAGGAAATCGGACGTGGGTCGTTCGGGGCGGTCCATCTGGCTGCAGATCAGTTTGGCAACGAATATGTATGAGCACGAACCTATGGGATATGAGCCTGGTCTATATGGGAAATGGATATGCTAACTGTCAGATAAACTATCTGTAAATCCAGGCAGTCAAGGAATTCTCCAAGTCCAGACTAAGAAAACGTGCGCAGTCGCATCTGCTGCGAAGACCGCGAGGTCCGATTCGACCAGGAACGGATTTCAACTCACCGTTACATAGGCATCCTTCCGGTGACGATATTGAGACAGCAAAGAATCCTTTATATCTGATCAAGGAGGAAATTGCAATCATGAAGAAACTGAACCATAACAATCTAGTGTCATTGATCGAGGTCTTGGACGATCCAACAGAGGACTCGTTATATATGGTGATGGAAATGTGCAAGAAGGGTGTTGTCATGAAGGTCGGGCTGGAGGAGAAAGCAGATCCGTATGATGATGAGCAATGTCGATGTTGGTTCCGTGATCTGATCTTGGGAATTGAGTATTTGCATTCGCAGGGCATTGTCCATCGAGATATAAAACCGGACAACTGTCTGGTGACCAACGACGACATGCTGAAAGTGGTCGACTTTGGTGTATCAGAGATGTTTGAAAAAGATTCAAACATGTTCACTGGCAAGTCAGCTGGGTCACCAGCATTTCTCCCGCCAGAACTGTGCGTGGTCAAACATGGTGATGTATCTGGCAGGGCGACAGATATTTGGTCCATGGGGGTAACTCTATATTGCCTGCGATATGGAAGGCTACCATTTGAGAAGCATAGCATCTTCGAGCTGTACGATAGTATCAGGGGGGATCCCCTGGTCTACGAAGAAGAGTCAGATGAAGTATTCAAAGATCTTATGGGACGGATTCTTGAGAAAGATCCAGAGAAACGGATCGACATGTTTAGTTTACGAGTGAGTCAATCGCAATCACACTACTTGCCAATGCTAACTAGGTAAAACAGGAACACCCCTGGGTAACGAAGAATGGGACGGATCCTTTGCTGTCATTTGAGGAGAACACGTCGCAAATCATTGAGCCACCGACAGAGGAGGAGATGAACTCGGCCATTACAACAAATATGGGACATCTTATGACTGTGGTATGTTACCACTCCTCATTCTGGTTGGATATTTATTAACAAAGCCCGCAGATGAAAGCCGTCAAAAAATTCAAGCGACTAACAGATCCCACCAAAGCACAATCCCCAATTCAAAGTACATTCGGTCAAAGCATTCTGGGCGGAGACCACGATGCCTACCTCGTTGAGCCACCAATGGAAATGGACCCAGATGAGCCATTTCCAGTAGTGGGAGCGGCTCCACAAACACAAGACGCCCATGGCTTGCACGCAAACCTACGCAAAGGTTTCGGCCGGCGTCCCTTTGCCGGGTTACGAGACGATCCCGGAGTTCTCGGATCTAGTGATTCAGCCAGCTTTTCATCCCGGCCGGAGCACAGCCGGAGCAGCAGCAAAATGCCCAGCGGTGTGTTCGAACCCGAGCGTAAAGACTCCGGCTCTGTCCGCAGCTGGGGGTCCCCGGCTCAACCGGATATTGGCCACGAAGCTCAACCCCACTCTCAATCGGCATCGCCTCGCATCCCCCTCTCGCGAGAAAGCTCGGGTAGAACTAAGCGCAGCCTGGAGGGGACGAGGGGGCATGCCCGTGATCCTTTGGAAGAGGAGTTTCCCTACCTCTTCATTGGACCGTCTACATACAACGGCTCCTCGCAGCAGGAACCCATGGAAATTAGCGACGAGCCGGGATCTATCTTCCAAGAGCCGGAAAGCTCAATGCATCCTTCTGACCAGATGGAGGATGATGAGCCGGTGCAGTTCGTTAGTGAATCGCCCGGCGCTGCGGATTTCAATATCTACGAGACGGCGTACAGGAAGGAACTGGACCGCATCAAGCACAACCTGAAAGACCGCGATACCGGCACAAAGGTGTACCTGACTCGCTTTATCGAGAAAAATACCGCCGAAATGACGAAATTGGCCAAAGAGAAGGAGTTGGATCTTCAAATTGGGAATCAGTCCACTCCTTCTACTCCGTCGAGAACACCCTCAGGTTTCGGGTCTGCGGTTAGTGCGCTGCGCTCGCAAATTCTGCAGAAGAGGCAGGCCGAGGGGTTGGAAGAGCAGGAAGTTGACGCAAGTAAAGATAAAGATTCTTCCCAGAATCATGAGACTCACCCTCATCCTCCGAAACGCCTGTCGCTTTCATCTCAATCTATACCTGAACCTGAACCGTCGTCTCTAGAGGCGACAGGTGTGTCATCTACGGAAGGGAGCGGTGCTTCCCAGGCACAGCTGCGGCGAATTCTTGATCGAGTTCGTGGAAAGTCTGATAGTGCAGAATGATAGGCTGGGCGGAAGTCGTTGTGTTGATAAAATTGTGTGAAGCGTGGATTCTTTGTGTAGGGATAGCATTTCATTCAAGGCGTTGAACAGGTAGTTTCTTTGTCTAATCTTTTCTTTCACCCTTATATATATTATTTGAGCTGGCAAACTTCTTTTGAAGAGAGTACTTGGTACATACAATCCTTGTTGGACTGTGTGTGATGGGAGCGTATATGGCCTCGGGAACTCCATAAATCCCGGAAATTATGGCCCTAGGCCTTGCTTAGTCGCATGACAATCATAAAAATAAACCATGATAAAAATAAACAAAAGTCATCGCCCGGAGGCGATCCGGCAACTTGAGATTAAACGGTACTCAACCTGAGGATGGACGGGGATCCAGAGTAGCGGTGCCAAATGGTCACCAACGACAACCGCTACGCCGAATTACCGCCTATCCATTCATACTTATAGACTAGTTCTATTTGTCATACGAAGTGAAGTACGTAGAGAGTATAGAAAGTATGCTATCTAACTAAGAGTTAGAACTCAAGTACCTACGTATCTCTCTATCTTGGTTGATTGGTATCAGGGTACTAGAGTAGTATCTGTTTGGAGGGGCTACAATCAATGGTATAAAAAATAGATCAAAATGCGTACATTAGCGAAATCCATGCCTGACTTACATGGGAATAAACAAAGAAGAACGAGGACCGAAGTGATATGTATGGAATTAAATACTCTCAATTCATTAATAACTAGAGCAAAGAATGTGAGACATCACCTTATAAGGGGAGTCGAGATAGAAGAATCAACACAGTCAAAAGCCAAGATTCAGAAAATTGAAAAACAGGAACCAGGAACCAGAATATCATCAAATGTCAGAAATATCAGAAGTATTGTAGGATAAAATACAAGGTAAACAGGCCTTAAAGAAAATTGGAAGGCTCAAAGAACCGCCATCGCCATGTAGCAATAGACATAATGCATCATCGTCATCATCAAATGCATAGCACGCTAGACATTGGGCTGGGCTGGAGAGAAAGAAAAAACAAAAAGGTAGAAAGGTAGAAAGTATAACAGCGAGACCGGAAAAAGGAAAGATGCTAGGCATGGAGGGCATCAATTGGCGTAAACGTTTTGTCTTGTCTTGGGTCGTGGTACTTCGAGTAGGCTGCACAATATTGAGATTGAATGTTTGCCTAGGAGACGAGTGGGAAGCAGGAGCAGAAGGAAGGCAGTGGAGAGACTCGCTTGCTTGAATGGGGGCAATGGCGTTAAGATTCAATAGAAAAATCGAATATCAAGAATATCAAGGCCGTTATCTTCATCGAACGTGGGGGGGACTCATGGACGCATCAATGGATGTATGAAGGCCACTGTCACAGAGGGAAGAGGGAAGGAGAGTGAAAGCATTCCCCATCCCGTGTCCATGGTCTATCTGACCTTAGGTATATATTACCCGGGTTGATGGACACACGGACATTAAGCGAGAGGGTCAGCCATGTATGAGGTGTGTTGAATTGTTGAGGGAAAGTCGGTGTTGAAAGGGGTCGCTTGAAGAGCATGGAAAAAAAACCACACACAATAAACACAACACGAGAACGCTGTCTATTGTTCATCAATGGCTTGATCATTCATTCATGGCGCTTGGGCCTCAAAAAACAAAGGCTGAAATCAAAAGTCGAAAGTATAATCGAGACTGGGAGCGAAAAAATGACGATATAAAAAAGGAAAATATCAATATCAATGGTCATCGAGGAGGTTTCTCAGCTGGTGCCGTGTTCATTCGTCCTTCCAAGTACGGTCCTGTTGGCTGCTCAGGTCGACTCGTGACTGAGTCACGCCGACCACTGTCTGGCGGGGAGAATCGGTCTGCTGCGAAGCTGTAGGGCCGCTCAGCTGGGTTGCC